TTTAGAAATAATTCGTTAGAGGAATATGTAAAATATAACATTTAAAAAACTCACTAAAAAATTAAAATATCGGAAAAAACCGACCAACAAAACACAGATAATGTTCTTCCCTTAAAGTTTGATTATAGATCAGTTTGCTCTAATATTAAAGCTAACTTCACTACATTTGAATCACTGAACGCAAATTTGCTGTGTTGTACGCATGTCAGACGGAGACAACACATGTGGGTGTGACGTCCTCTTCTAAGAATAAGAAAAGTAGAGCACCGAAATCGAGGTGCAGAAAGAATGAAAATTACTGTAAAAGAAGTAATTGAAAAACGTTTAAAATAGTTATGTAAAATAATTATATTTATTTACATTGTTTTGTTATGAAGTTCATCGAGCTTTTAAGGGTTTACCTTTGATATTAAGATAAAATTAGTTATTCTAAATAAATATTTATATATTAAGAATTACCTATATCTCATTATTACCCTTCAGAGCGTATCGTGTTAAATCATCAATTGTCTATGATGTGAAAATTTGTTGTATTCGTGTAAAAAAAATAAAACCGAAAAACGATAAAAATCATTGAGCCGGTTGGATCCCTCGTGCTGCTGGTGTTTATTCATTTATTCTGCCCGCTACCAACTCTACGTTGTACGGCTAAAGGCCGTGCACATTTTTATATATTCAATCGTACTTTAATAGTATTATTTCACCATAGCCATACCATAATATTATGTGTTTTGATAATATTTTGTAACGCTCAAAAATGTATTAATAGTTGACCGGAATGCAAATATAAAGACAACTTATCAGAGAGATGGATGGTAAGAAGTTTTGACGGCAGAGCTGTTTCTGACTGGACCGTTGAGCTGATGATGAAAAAAAATATTATGTGCTCGTTACTTATATTAGGTTTTTCTATGACTTCGAACCGAAAACGTATGAAAACGAAAGTGTACGTTGAATACATAATTATAACAGTAGAGTGTAATACATGCCACGGTATCCGTGTCGGATTACGTTTAATGTTGTTCGATTGAATATCACTACAGTTGACGTACGGTGAACACGTCTTTGTTCAACAGCTGAAAACAGAAGTGGCTACGAGCACATCCTTCAAGCGTGTTGAAAACGTATTTTTAATTTAAAATTTTAAATGTCACATTTTGTTTAGTTTTATTTTATTTGTTTTCAAAAAAAAAAAAACAACAACAATCCACCTTTAACCAATGATACTACTATACGGTATACCGTTTGAAATTGGTACATTTTCCTGACGACGAACAACGTTGGGTTCCCGAATACTGCGTGTCTGATATTGCGTTACGATTAGGTAGGTATATACTTTGGTAATATTGGAAATGCTTAAAATGTTTCTCAGGATTCGAAAAAAAAAAAAAAAACCGTAATGAGAAGGGATGTCACGATAATAAAGGAAGAAACAACGAGTGTTTGGCCAGATTTATTAACTGAAAATAACGAGCTGAAGTAATGGTAAACATAATAAAAAATAAAAACATGGGAGATGTATAAAAATAATAGTAATAATAATAACAATGGCGTACTGTGGATGTCAAACGTATAAATGCGCAGCGAAACGTAACTTTTTTTCCTACTGAAAAATTATGGAAATTATTAAAAAAGAACTTTTTCTGATCCACGGCGGGCGTTGTACGAACTCTTAGTAATATTGTACATACTTATTCTGCATATTTGACGTCTGCGCATCAGTCGATTAATTTTTTTTTCTTTTTAAGATATTTATCGTAAACGTAATTCTTACAAGAGTTTTTGTTGCTTAACGTTGACGAAAATTTACGTGTGCAAGTCCCGGGCCGTTTAGAATGTAAAATACATTTATGTCATCAAGTTCCGGTTTAATTCTTATGTTTATTTTTTCTCATCGAATGCAGTACATCGACTACAATACAAATATAACTCAACGCGTCTCGTACGCAATTTCGGACTACTTCATTTCATGCTGTTATGTAAATCAAAGAGTTTTTCTCGATTTTATTGATTTACACGCGCTCGCGTATCATACTTTTTCCAGAAAACTTTAATGTACTGTATTGCTATTAGGAAAAATAAAAACTACATATACTACTGTGTATAAATGTACTATGTTCAGTGTTTATTCTACTAATAACAGCATTGTGGTCGTATCGTAGATTTCGGTTCATTAGTACAAACCGCGACGGACAGTTTAGTAAATTATTTAATTGTTTTAATTAAAATAAATCCACTTGACTGCCATACGAACTTTTATGGACATTCGTTTACGCGCGCTTTGCTGAATTCCTGTATTCGATTTCGAAAATCATACGCTTCAATTTTACAGTTATAATAATAATTATTATTATTATATTAATAATAATTACAATAATAGTATTATAGCATTACGCTCCTGGACTTTCTGTACTTGAACGAGTACGATGAAAGTATTAATTATTGTTATAGTGAATTTTCCCGAACCATACGCGGAATAACGAAAATGTAATCCAATTTGTTAGAAAAATGAAATTAAGTTAAAACTCTAAATACCTGACGCTAAAAGCAGAAAAAGTTAATTTTTTTTTTTTAATGCTTATAGTATTTACTATAATTATTCAAAACATTTTTAATCCCACCTAACCTTATTTTTCACCAGCACAGTTGTCCCGATAGGATTGAGTAAATTTAAATTAAAATATAAATTTAATGTTAAAACCTTATTTATTTAACCTGTATTTTGTCTAATTAGATATTAATAGTTTGTACCTAAAGGTGAAATAAAACTTATCTTTGTATAAGCCCATGGGAGCCACATACATTTATTAAGGAAGACTCAAGGCAAATGTTTATATTGTATATGGAACCACCATATATTTATTTTTAGATCGACAATAATTTGCTTGTATTTAAATCATTTAACTTTTAATAATATGACTTAGACTATGAAAAAACTTTTGGTGTCTCAGTGGTCATGGCGCCCAGTGCACACGCCTCTCTCATCCCCCACCCAAGGTACGGCCCATGTGTGAATACAACAATAAATGTTGAAAAATTAATTAATTTTTTCTTTTTTCATTACATGTGTAGGGGACTCAGATGTCCCGTCAACACTGTTGACTTAATTGGATTTATTATTGGTGTTATTTGAGAAGTTTAAGAGCTAGGACTCAAACATCCCGCTCGCCCTGTAAGGGTTAATCAATAAAGTCATTCGAAGAGTTAATTATTATTTTAGAATATTATCTTTTATCTAAATAACAATATAATACCACATCGTAAATGGATTCGTTTTACAGAAGGGTGAATAAATTATGTGACATTTTCACCGACATTTTCAATTATCTTTACTTTATTTTTTCGTTATCCGTAAGTAATTAATAGGTTCGCTCGACACATAATAGTAATCACGAAAAAAAATTGTTAAAGTTTAATACAAAAAAACATTGGTACTACTACACCATTACGTGTTCAACGATACTAAAAATATGTCTAGATAAATAGATATAATAATAATACGTCTAACGAATAAAAATGTTGTCACGTTTTAACTATTAATATTAGGTAAGAGTAATATTTTCATAAGTCTACCCAACCCAACGGAAATGTTATTTAACATTATAAAATATTGTTATTATTATTATTTTTATTATTGTCCTTCTCCGTAAATGTTTTAAATTTTAATAAAATCTTTGAAAACAGTATTAATACAATAATACGACTGTATTGTATCGCTGAACAATATGCGCTGCAGCGTGTATAACATAGTATCCGCTACTGCCGAGATTGGTATTAAAGCTTTTTGGATTGCCGAGGCTTTTGCGTTTTTCTATATTTTATTTGCGCCATTCGACACACGTGCGCGCTGTAGCAGCAACGCGTTAGAGAGACGATTCGAAAATGGCCACGCGACGAGAAACGCGGCAAAAAAAAAATTTGTTAAGTTGTTTGTTGACGTTTAATGTTGCCCGACACCGCGTTTTTGGTTTCGAATCGCGTGAACACAACAGTGCGTGTACACCACATTCGTATTAATCAGCTCGGTAGTATTCGGTTCTTCTCACCCGATAAACTGTCAGGTTTGTTTTCGTTTACTCAACCACGTAGTAATATGCAAAGTATATTCATTGGATTTGTTAGCCCAGATCACGTTTAGTTCTATGCGTCACACCGATTTTAAACTGTGGTATGGACCAGACGTGACCATTTTTTATTCAAACGGACTGTCAAAAAAAAAAAAAAAAATCGGATATTCAGGATCGGATCGTTAAAATGTTTAGTACAAACGGGAGTATGAATAAAAGTATCCGGATGCGGACCGGTATGGTCTAGATCAAACTGCGTAGAGCTCTCAGGTAAGAATCTCGTGTACTATCCGAGCTAATATAAATAAGAGAAAAAAACACGAATGTTTGGTCTGGACCATCAAATAAATGTGTACGTCGCTACAACCGGTAAGGATCCGTAGTTTATTCTGATCTTCTACATAACTGTACAACATGCGAAACTAATATTATTTTATTTTTTTTTTTTTTTTTACATTATTTCAGTTCGCTGCAAAAATGAAACTGTTCAAGTTCTACCACAGGGGATGTGATACGGTTTTCGAATACCACAATGTTTAAAAATATTGGTACACTTTTGTGTTTGCTGGTCAAATCAATCAACCAGGACTGGAAGGTTTGGACTTTTTCAAACTCATACTCGTCATTATCGAATAACCGTGATCACGAGTGCGTACAGAGACGAGACGTACACCAGGGGGTAGGTTTACACTCCCTCGTCGTTAAATGTCTTTCTCCTCCCAAAGATTTAGTATTTTATTTTTTTCGGATCTTGGATCTCAATCCTTGGTGAAAAGCCTAACAGAACTTAAACCCTGCATACACCACTGCGTGAATGTATAATAATACGTGGTATTTTATTTTTTCTCTGCCCGAACAACTCTCGTACAGTAAAATGTAATGTCTCGACGTGTTCTCACGTACCGCGCTACGGGAGCAAATAATGAACACGTGTTTGTGATGTACAGTAGAAAGTATGTATTTAGTGTATTTGTAGTCAACGCGGTATTCGTGACGGAACGCTAAATTGAATTTTCAACCGACGAGGTTGATAATCATGGTTGCGGTGATATGACGTGACGGCTTTCTGGTTAGTTTCTCAGTCTCGGAACTAATGGACGTTCGGAGTGTTGAAGTTATCCGCGTCATCCGTGTTCTCCTGTTGCTGTTGAAATTGTTCGCGGACGTCCTCGGCGTCTCGCACGGGGCTACGGTCGTCTTCGGTGGCTTCCTCGACCCTTTGGACGTCCTCGGCGTACTGCGTGGCTTTAGGTGCATCCTCGACGTCTCGCACGGGGCTGCGGTCGTCTTCGGTGGTTTTCACGACCCTTTGGACATCATCGGCGTACTGCGTGGCTTTAGGTGCATCATCGACGTCTCGCACGGGGCTGCGGTCGTCTTCGGTGGCTTCCTCGACCCTTTGGACGTCCTCGGTGTACTGCGTGGCTTTAGGTGCATCCACGACGTCTTGTGAGGTGCTACAAGCGTCCTCGGCGTCTTTCACGACCCTTTGAACGTCCTCGGTGTACTGAGCTTCGCTGGGGGCATCCTCGACGTATTTTACGGGGGCTACGGGGCTACGAGCGTACTCGGCGTCCTGCGTGGCTTTAAGGTCATTCTCGGCATCCTTCACAGGGTTACTGACGTTCTCGGCGTCCTGCACAGCGTTATGGATATCCCCGTTGTCTCGCATGATCCTACGGACGTTCTCGGCATAAAGAACGGTGCCAGGACCATCCTGAACGTCCTGCACGGTGCTACGGGTGTTCTCGATATCCTGCGCGGCGCTGCGTTCGTCCTCGTTGTCATGATTGATGCTCTGGCCGTTCACGTGTTCCTGCACACCATCCTCGTCCACGGTTTTCATCAAGTAGTCCGTCCGCGTCTGCACGGTTTCCGGCTCGAAGTCGTTCATCTTCAGTGGCTCGATTTCCGCCTGGGCCGCGAGCTTCTTCAAGTTCATGCCACCGCCACCGATCATGTGCGACACGAGACCCGGCGCGTTGTCCTTGACCGTTTTGTCCACGTATTCGTCTTCGTCCGTGTCGACGGAGTTTGGCATCGCCTGGAAAACCGTAAAAGTTCAACATAATGCATCGTCATATTTTTATAACCCGCGTCGATGTATTCTTTAGCTCGTCGCTTTACATCTTCGTAGTTAAGATACGTTTTACCTTGCGCGAACCGTGATCTATGATCGCGCAACGTTATCGCGCGACTACTGTTGCGATGTAAATTACGTATAGTTGGTTTTCCTCACGCGGTCGCGGTCGGCGATTTAAATTTGTTCACGTCGCGAAGGAAAAACGTAACTCAAGACTAAAATTTTTTTGTTTCCATTTCTCCTCCCAACACCCTAACCAACTGATGGGTTTCTACGTGTGTGTATATATATATATATTTTTCCCTCATTAAGGCAATGCGAAATTCGTTTAAATATTCCGGTCGCCTATTCGACGGGATTTCGAGTGACCGCCCTTCGCCTGGATACACGACTGACTGAGAAAACGTATTTCGTTCGGTCGCGCGCACGATCCGTTAACCGTCCGGTCTTAACCGAAAGTGGCGTCGTCGTGTTGTCCGTCCACCATCAAGTGTCACGCCGGAGTGGAATATAATAATGGTAATAACAATAGCAATAAAACACATGTCAGAGCGTTTATCTTTGTCGGACAAAAGGCGGCGACGAGATCTGCCCGACCATTGTTGTTGTTCGAAACGATTACCGTCGTCGCTAATATAATACTATCGTCACCGTCGTCGTTATTGTTGTTGTTGCTGCGAAAATTGCGTCCCGTCAGGTGTTGTTCATATCGCGTACACTCTTGACAGATCTTCGAAACGCTAAGACCCACGGGACCGGTGGATTAGTGTTAGAGGGCGATACCATCGGCTAATCCCTCCGGTGGGCCCAAAATTTTCAACAGCGCAGGACGCGCACCAGGTAACGGCGCGTCGGTTATGTTTTTCGGCCGTTGTCCGAGAATACGCGCGTTTATTTCTATTAATTGTGGTTCGACGAGCAGCGCGGACGAAGCCAACGAAACACGTTTTTGTTAGAAACCGTTGCGCACTAAAAACATATTCGATATTAACTCGAAAGAATGAAAATAAATATCGGGTAAAAGATGTTTCGGTGAAAAGGAAAAGTTTTGAAGGATTCCGCACGATTTTCTCAAAACTTTTGATTTGACCAGTTACATTTTTTTGAGCACGTGCGAATGTCCTATGATACATTTTATTATATTTTATACCGAATCCAAATTTTTTTTTTTGTTGGAAAAACGATCCGATCATAAAAAAATGCGTTTTCTGTTTGCTACTTATACATTGTTGTTCCGAAATAATTTGAAATCGACTCGAAATAGAACGTTTAGAGTTTTTCCACAAAACTGCGTTTGGATTTACGTATCGAAAATAACACGGAGATGAATATCAATTCGTACGGTTTATGAACAAACCTATACTTTTCGATTCAATTGTTTAACTTTTACACTCCGAATCCTTGTTGTTTTCCATTTTCGTATTATGTTGAGTTAAGCTGTTTTTAAACCACCCCTTGATATAAGTGAACAAAGTCGTTGAGATTTATTGATCGATGACTAATCAGCGGCATTTTAGATAATAAACGTTCGTAAATCCAAATGGTACTTTAAAAACAAAACTATTTTTTTTTTTTAATGGTATACCGATAGATTTTGCTTGTTAAACACTCGTCTGCATGTGTATGGAAAGCGTTGCATTTATATCAGATGCACGTTACTGTTTACTTTTCGAAGCAACGCAATCCTCGGGAATAAGTTATTTCCGAAACCGTTTAATATTGGATCCGTTTACTTATGGTGAAAAGAGAAAATAATTATTTTCAAGACCACAACTAAATAGGAAGTCGCGTTCATTACTTTTTAAACCGTGTAAAAGTAGGTACCTTGAACCACCTTCGGATCAATGATTAATAATTAAGTGTTTTACAGTGCTAACAGTTATTCGCTACACCAATAACCAGCATCGTACACTGATTAACGTTAACCCGGAAAAATATCACGTACATTTATTGGGTGGATCAACTTCACGAGTTCAAAAGTTGATTGAGGACATTCGAATGACTTATAAATTCTAAAAACAGACTTCCCAGTACTTTTAACGAAATCATTAGTTTCCGTTTGGTGCTGATTTCAAAGTTCTACGGATGGGCCACGTAAATTTGGTTAAATTTTTTGGTTTAACGATGAAAGTTTGAATTCGCAAATTCTAAACATTGACTTGCCAATACTTGCAAATAGCTGGCAAAATAATGACATTGATTTAAAAAAAAAAAACATACGTTCTTCGGTTGACCAACTTCACGAAAGTAAGGTAAAATATATTACAAACGTGTTATAATATGTAAATATAACGGAATAATTTAGATAAATTTCTAATGCCACACAGTATGTTGCAATGTTGTATTTGATAGCGTTGGGGTTTTCAGTTAGTTGTGGGATAAATACGGTTTTGCCGACGAAAACGCGTTTCTTTAGAAATTGTTCATTGCTCACAGTCTGGTCTCATTGAAAACGGATGGAATTTGCAATGTACGGACAAATGTTACAGGTAACCACGTTTTAGTTACCGATGTGTTTAAACATAATTTTACACCGATGACGGGAAACAATGAAAATCGTATGGCAAGACGGCGACGAAACGCGCGATTTTATTAATGTTGTTAGATCACTAACACTATTATTACTAATATTATTTGTGATCCAATAACCTCGCTTTCTTACGGTGTTATTATCTCTGTACAACAGTTGTTCGTACGGTTCAACGTGGACGATCATTATTGTTGACGGGACGCATGCAAGAAATGTGCAAGACACACGTGTCGACTAAGGCAGATCCACCCCGTTATGGCATTATGACAATGTACAGCAATAATAATTTTATCGCCGTCACGGCCGCGTCTCTAAACCGCTTTAAGATATGTCCCGTGCATTACGAGTGTGGCCATAAAAAAAAAAAAAAAAAAAAAATGACGCGAAATCAACGACAAATCCGTCGGATCGATTGGGAACGGAATACACGATATTGTAATGCGGTGTAACACGTTGCGTACGGGGGAAAATACTGAACGCGCTGGAGAATCATTCGCATTTCTGCTGAAAACAAATTTTAAGAGTTCACGGCGAGGGGAAAAAAAATCAAAATGAGAGAAAATAAAAAAGGTCCGATGTTCGTTTCCAGTGAAACCGTTGACTCTGTCCGGTGTCCGCGAGAAACGTTCAGTATAATTCCATGGTCGTTTTCCGGGTTCGGGTCGCTCGAAACGCGCCGCTCCTTATGTTTACCTACCTGTGGGCGCGCGCCTAACATACATATCGTAAACATGTATTAAATCGCTACCTGTTTGCCAATAGTCTGGCGCGCGTCCTGCCAAGGGATCGTACGACGCGTCCACACACAGTGTTCGAGACGACCGATGCGACGGAGCGTAGCAGTGGATTTCAAACACGCGAATCACATATTATTGCACTTATCAGTAGGAAACGGATTTGAATGAAAATTGCATTTTTTTCTGAATGTCCGAAAACATTGCTTTTCGAGCACAGAGTTCATTTCGTACATCGAGGAATTAAAAAATGTAACTTTTATTTTGCATTTTTTTGCATTTTTTGCGCATTTTTATGTTTTTAAGTCATTTTTATACGCGTATTTGTTGCTTGGAATTATAAAAGTTTCAAAAAAATATACCTCAAATGTAAACTGTTTAAAATTTTTCGTTTTGTCTCATAAGTTAGTTATTTTTACGAAGACTAACGGCTGATTGTATCTATCTGTACGTAATTCTCAAAATTTGAAAATCCACGTTCGTTATAGTGTAAAACGACCTTATTCATAATAAACTCGATAACGATATGCGACAACGGAAAATAACTAATACAAAACTAAATAATAATTAATATTACATTTTTAATAATTATGTGTTTTTTATAAGTTTTAATTTATAATAAAAATATCAATATATTAAACACACACAAGTCTGTTCTATAATTGTGTTTTTAAAAAAATTTTTAAATTTTTAGTGCATTTTTTTAAGGCATTAAGTAGTTTTTTTTTTTTAGAAAATTTTTTTTATTTTTTATGGCATTAATGTCCGTTCCCTACTTATAAGTGTACTTACTAGCACGTTTAAAAATACTGCGTGTTTTATGCGCACGCGTGTATTTGTGTGTGTTGAGTAGTTGCACTTAGCGCATGTTCAGATATTCTCTACGGTATACATATGGATGAAAATTAAACCGACTGTTCCGACTTGCACACAAACGAAAAGGTAATTTTTTACCTAATCAAAAACTGTCTATAACTGTTGTTGACATCACTTCGTTCAGCTTCAGCCGAGCTCGCGTATGATTTAACCGCACTATATAGGTGTGCGACGTAGGTACGATAAAAAAATATTCTGAACAAGAAAATTAAAATACGGTAATGTGGTACATGTTCAGTCGTGCTGACCAAGCGTTTACAACAATCATACGATATCATGAAAAACGTTTGGAATATTTAATGTTTCGTTTACGAAAACACACTATAAAACGAAAAACTGATAAGTGTTAAACATTATTAAAAGAATAGTATCCGCGAGACGTTCGTACATGACCATTCATGCGTCCATACGCATATTGTCCTCGGTTTTCTTTGTACGCAGTCTAACAATTTGGCTTTAAGAAAAACTTCGGATTGTCTTACTTGGGCGGCCACGAAGATCGTCAGTAGCAGTGCGAAGTTTCGGTTGAACATATTGAATTTTGCCATTATCGTTGCAGCGGTCTTATGATCGTCGCCAGATTCAAGTGAAAATCGGTTATTGGCCGGACAAATAAACCCGTCGAAAAGTTCGGAAAACACGAATAACAATACAATAGTTTACAAAACGTGTAGTGTGATGGAATAATCGTTGGCCACCGTATTTATACACGGACGCACGAAAAGGTGCAAATGTTTTTTGCGCTACAATTATTTAAATTATAAATTCATTTTTTTTTTTTTTTTTTTGTTTTACACAAAAGTTAAATATGTACCGCATCAGGTATAATATAATATATATATATATATTAATAATAATGAAAACATTTTACTAAAATTTTAATGCGTGGTTTCATTTTTCACATGTATATGTGAAAATAAAGCAACACGTCGTATTCTGTTTGAAAAACAAAAAAGGTATAATTGTATAATGCATGCGCATAAACACGCGCACACACACAAACAAATGCCAGCACCGGGAATGATCGATGCCCACGAAAGTAAAGATGGCCGTTCTTTTGTTAGTGCAATGCTATTATTATTTTCATTATTAAATGCGTTTAAAATCGTTTAAATTTCACCGGCAATGTCGTTAGTATTTTTAACGATTCATTTGTCACTATGGCCTTTGATATGCTCCCGATGAACACTAGACAGTGGCATCAGATACATTGCCGACGTGATAGAAAATATGTCAAGTATAATGATGTAGAGAGACCGTCATAATTATTTCGAATCTCAAGTTCGAGAAGTTGTTATGAATTCGATTGTTATTGAGTATAATTTTTCCATCAAGTAAATAGTTATTGGTTTTGAAGTTAAATCACATTTACACTCGTATATATTGGCTTGTGATAAATACAAATTATAGAAAAAGTTATAAAATAAATGAACTAGCTGTATTATGTTTCTTATAAAAACGCATTGTTGTGCGTATTATTACAATTGCTTGATTGGAAATTTATCTTCGTTTTACTTGTATTGTCTTCAGGAAAAGCCGGTTTAGTTGCGATTTGGTTAAGTGTTTTGGACGAGTCTAAACACTACGGAATTATATAAAAACCACCACGTCCCTGTAGTGCAGCAGAAATAAACATAACAGTATTGAATAATCTGATTTCAAAAACACAATTCAGAAAACAGTCATTTCTCATCTGTACAGCCGTTCTTCGGATGCATTATGCTGCATAATAAATGAATGCAATTTAATATAATATATTGTTATCTCGGTGATACAGCAGCGTTGCGCCGAGTTCTTGTTGGTGGCCGGATATCCGGATATATCTTATCTTAACCGTATCTCACGATCTATATCCTTATAGAAAAATATTATTGTTTGCATAGTCTCGATGTGCGCCCATATCCCTCGTGCTCTATTTCCACGCCCCACGTTCGTGGATCACAATACATCGATTACGTTTTTCTACAGTTGTTCCGATGGTCATTCTATAGACGGACATGGGAATTCATCACGGAGTGCCCTTACATAAAATTAACCGCCTGTAGTCCAAAAATCATATTATCCATCGTACGTTTCTCAGGTGCTTCTTTTCACGTGTAAGTTTTAAAAAAAAAATATATTAATCATTTAATTACAAGACTAACATTATTTTATTATTATATATTTAAGCTGATTTGTAAAAATGTGTGACAAGTTGTAACAATTATTAATGGTTAAATACCAAATATAAATTGAATTAATAAATATTGAACGGAATATTATTTATGATATTATATAAAAAGTACATATTAAATATTTTATAGCATGTATTACGCTGAAGTGCCGAACTCGTGTATAAAACGGAACAGAAATTACTACTCCGGACTATACGTTGATTTAGCACCGAGTACATGTATAGAACGTAAATAGGCTGCCCGGACGACTCATCGGATTCGCAGTACCAGCCGGTTCAAACCCGGTCACCGTTGGTTTCACATTTCGCACGGGACGACCGCTCCAAGGAAATAAACCGCCAACACCCCCGTTCAATTCACCTAATTTTTCGCCGAGTCTTTTAAGATTTACCGTTAAATCATTAATAGCCTATTGAGAATTTTGCGTTCTGATGCACTAAAAACGTACACCAAAAAAATTGAAACGCAACATAGTCAAACATTTTTTCTTTATTATCGTTTTTATCACAACACAAAAGTTTATTATTATTATTCTTAATGTCTACGGGTATATATATTATATAGTTGCGATTCGTATTGTTTCGTCTTACCTTGTATATTTATATAAAAATCCATAAACTAAATTAATATCGCCGCCGAACACGAGGAAAAATGGTGAATATAATATTGATGAGCGTTACCGTGATTATTCATAAAATACGAGTGAATCTACACCGTTCGGGTAAACGTCAAAGAAAAAGCATGATGTACATAATATTGTTACATTGTCGACAAGAAAACCGTGTGAACACACGCGAGGAACACGTATCCTCATTTTTTACTTACGATTTCAGTACAATAAGCATGAAATTAAAAAATTATAATAACTTTTATAAGAATCGATCGTTGTATTTTATTTTTTTTTAAATACTTAAAAACCTGATGCACGTATTATTATTTACACGCTAGTTATAATCGGTTCGATGGAAGGTTTGGTTTTTTTTTCAAATATCAATTGTTCGATCGTATAAAAAAAATAAATAATAAACATAAATATTACAAAATATTAAATGAACTCTCAGTTCATGAAAAAAAAAAAAACGAACTCGTCGTATTCAACGTTATACGAAAATAATTCTTAAGGGTTGTGAATTTGTGACAAAAGCATCGAGTTACTATTTAAGTTTATACAATTGTTTAAAAAAAAAAAAAAAAAATTAAAAAAATGTATACGGTTGATGCATAATTTTTTTTCAGAGATTTGATTTATCAGACGTTTCTACAGATTTAAACATTTTATTGATGTACGAGGAACGATAGATTGTCATGATAATTTCGGTAAAAAATACTTGTCGTCAAATATTTAATGTCAAATTTACATACGGGAACACATTACGCTTTACGAGGCATTATCATGTAAATGTTTTTTTAGTTATGGTGGAATATTTTTCGCGTGTTCGTTTTCGACAACGCATTGTTACAATAATTAGTTCGCATGGGCGAGGGCAGAGGGAGTGAGAGTTTGGAGAAAACCCTTTCGTCACGTGGGTGCGTGTTCGACAAGGGCCGTGCGGTCACTCGTGGCCGTTGTTGTTCTTGAACGCGAAGTCGTCGTAGTCGAACAGTGGGTTGAAGCCGCCGAACGAGCCCCAGCCACCACCGCCGAGACCTCCATTGCCAAACGTGCCCCAGCCGCCGCCACCCGTCACGAACGGGTTGACGGACGGTACGAACGAGGGGAACGGGTACGGGCCCGGCCTGTTCCACGGGCCGACGCCTCCACCGCCACCACCACCGCCGCCGCCGCCGCCGCCGCCGCCGACGCCGCCGCCGCCGAACGGGTATATTGCGCCGACGTTGGGATAGTAACCAGAGCCCACGCCACCGGTAGCGCCTAGACCCCAGCCGAGGCCGGGGTACGCGGCCGCGGCCGCGGCCATGAGTATCTGCTTGCGCCGGATCAGCCGGTCCAGCAGCGTGTCGATCAACGGCGAGTCCAGTCCGAAGCCCAGCCCGATGTTGAGACCAATCGTGTCTGACGTGTCCTGGTCGCTCGGCGGCTGCTGCCCGTTCCCGGCACTCGTCTGCCCGTAGCCCGTCTGTCCGTAGCCCGCCTGTCCGTAGCCCGCGCTCGCCTGCCCGAGGCCCGAGCCCGATTGCGCCGTGCCCGACACCGAGGCCGCCTTCCGCTGGTACGACGGGCCGAGCACTCGGGTGCGGCCGAGCGCGGCCAGTACCGGGTCGACGGGTCGCCGTTGAGTCGGGCTGACGACGGGGCTCGCGGCGTGCGCGAAGCATGCGCAGCACCACCACAGCAACCACCAGCAACACACCTGCGACAAAAATGCAAACGCGAGTGAGTTACAGCAGCGATCATAACTTATGATAATTGTAAATCCGCGTCGCGATGGGAGAACATTTTGTTTCATTTATCCGTTCATACGGATTTGCGCGGTGAGCGGGTAGTAGCGCTAAAATATTTCTCGATCGGATGACTAGTCGAATGCATGTTATTACTGGGACTGACGTGGATAAACGTTTTTGAGTTACGAACGAAACGAAAAAACAATGAAAAAAATGATAACTTAATAAGCGTCACATCAAATCGAGTCGAATTGAACGGATTAAAATATCTACGTCCGATGAACCTAACCGGACCACCGGCCTCAGGGTTCACTTTGATGACGATCCTCCACATAATCGTCGTAGCTCGGCAATCCAAAACTATATTGGTTAATATAGGAAAACCACGATGTTCTGGAATACAATAAAACAATTATCGCAATAATAGTTTTGCGAAATACCTACCGTTGACCTAGCGTGCAACCGATAAATATGCAACGAATCGGATGAAAGAGACATGCGAACGAAGAGGTCTTCCGCGGTGGTCGACCGCTGCAGGAAACATACTTAAATACGTTAAACGTTTCAAGTTTTATCTCAATGTCAGTTAAGGTTTGTGTACTTAGACGTGCAATTCGATCGGCGTATACGACAACACGTAACATGTCCGAAAAAGTCTCGTCGACGGGATGTGGTACGTAATGATAGTTTAAGCGTAAAAACACGTTTTACCTTTGTCATTCAGCGTAAATTTAAAGCCGAGGCTCTTTTTTATTTATTTATTTTTTCCCCCAAGAAAGGAAACATTATCTGTGAAGTCGAGTTTTTATTTTTCGCAAACAATAATCGATTAAAAGTTATTTACGTGTTAAAAAAAAAAAAAAAGCAAAAACAATAAAAAATAACAATGAAACCTCTATTTAGAATGTTTTTATCATCGTTGAATACAATAACCCTCCTCTCACCTATAACCGTTAAAAATTATTATTTTATTTATAGATTTTTTCGACTCGTTAAGTTAATATAGAGAAAAATGTATGATATACTTATATTTTATAGAATTTTTAGAGTTACAATTAATTGAACAGGAAAACAAGTAACTTTACTTAGTTAAAAATTAATTATTTATTTAATTTTATTTTTTTCTAAACAAAAATATATTTTATATTTTTTATCTTAAGATTTTAAAATTAATTTACTTATTCCTAACCGTGCATCGCGAACAACATTTTATTTAATTAGTCGAGTTAGAATTTACTTAAAAAAAAAAAAAAAGATGAGGTCGTCGAGTAATTAAACTATAATTGAGTTTTTTACACTCAGCTTTGATATTAGGTATATGGTAAAGCTAGTTTAAGTAAGATAGTTACGGTAACTTAAAGCTTAACCATTTGGTTTCTTTGTTGGACTCTTTTTATCGTTCGAGCATTATTTGTATTACGTTGCCGAGATTGTTTTGCTATTTTAAAAATAAACTTACCTAACCATCAGGTGCGAGTGTATTGAAAATTAAAGATGCTCACGGTCAACGGTATGGATAACGGTGACCATATTAATAAATTGCTTAGAACGTAACCTTTTTATCGGATCCGTTTATAATATTTGTACAATTATTATGTCGTCGTACAATTATACGTTTTATTCATACACGTTTATATATTTTATTTTATTTATTTATTATTTTTACTACTAATCGTATTGTTTTCGAAAAGAAATACGAACATATTTTTCTGTATTTTATATTCGATTTGGGGGCTGAGTGAATAGAATATTAACGCGTTGAACTAGTTAATCGGACATTAACTAAACGCGATAGAATAAGTACTGTACGTTTGTTACACCGTTGTCGCATAGAGTCGTTGATCGATAAAATGAAAACTATTCAAATTTTCCCAATCAATTACATTAAGCACCAGAGAAATTGGAAAAGTTGTGTAGGCGACACGAAGATGTATTTTAATATAGTTATCGGTACGTCAAATGAGATACGATACGGATACGACTTCGTTTAATGTACGGTTCGAATTGAAGTTTGCTCATGACCCGATTGAATTAACATAACTCGTCGTGCACGAGTATTGCTTGCTTGAACTGCATGTACGTGAAACGCAAAGGGAAAAAGACAGTATTATGACGATTCAAAGAAATGTATTGTAGTGCTTAATCATTTCAGAGATTCGAGACGACGAGTGTATCTTATATGCTTTTATTATACTTGCGTTCAAAATATACCGAAATATTCGACTCGAATATTCGTGTACAGCATTATTACGGATTTTTTATATAAAAAATTTTACATCCTGTACAACTTTTGGCTTTGTAACGGAATGATATGCATTATTATTATTATTATTACAACATTTTTTTGTTTTTATATCAGTATATTTCTACCTAGACGTTTAAAGATTATCGAAAAAACATTTTATTTTGAATAAATATTAAAAAAAAAATAAAAATATTAACATCGTAAGCATAGTTTTTTGAGTATTTCATTATTTCGAATAGATCGAAAACAGTTGAAATTTATTTTTTTCAGGAATTTTTTTCATCTGCAATGTGTGCAATACTTATTTTTCGATAAAAATATTGTTATCGAAATTGTCCCGGAAGAAATAAAAACGTGTCCTGTATTTAACCAAATTCAGTTCCCACGAGACACGGAAAAACGCTGAGTAATCAAATTTATATACCTAATGAAAGTCGTATCAAACATAATCGAATAAAATCAACTGTTGAGGAAATATTATTCTTCATTTTTTTTTTTTAAATAGCATAGACACTAACCTATATCGCCACAAGCTGTATTGATGAAACAATCGTTGCTTTTGCATATATTTTGTCCGAAATAAATCTAAATCAGTAACAAAAAGCGGTTGTTTGCTTATAAAGACAAACGCAATAATAGCATATGAAATATTTCCTGGGCGATTCTATTAAAGTGGCTTTTAACATGAAAAAACTAAAAAAAAAAAGAAAAAAAGCATCCATAAACATTAACGTAGACCAATTTATAACTATTAAGCCGATTATCTATGAACGTGTTGTTTGTTACGAACAAGTGCGATTGCAGGTGTGAGTAATAATATTCCTGAAAATTGCGTCCGATATAATACATTTGCTGTACACGGGTACAGTTATACGTGTATTATAAATGTTTATTCGAAAAAAATAAGAAAAAAGAAGCTAATTTGAAATGTGCTTGTGTTAATAATAGTGTTTTTGTGCTAGTTAAAAATATGACAAAAAAAAAAAAAATAAATAAATAAATAAAAATACAATTTAAAGAGCGGCGAAAAAGACTTTTTTGCGTTGGAAATTATTTTTTATATTTATATCACAGACTTCGTGTGTTTGTGAATAATTTCAACGAGTTCCATGATAAATTCAAAGAAAACAGAAGCTTTGTAAGCGGATAATATATCATACCGGTAATGTTCGCTAAGAATTATTATTGTTATAAGTGGTAATACTGTGAGTCGGCTCGAAATAAATTGTTCAAAAGAAAAAGATAAAATAAACGAAAAAAAGAGACGCCCATACATGCGCAGTAAGTCCGTAACCCGTTGTCGTCAAACCTTGATAATTCGTCGTGGTGCCTATCGTGTAATCATTGTAATATGACGAACGGTAACAGCACTCGAAATTATTTCGACGTAATTAATTTTAAATTTTTATTTGCTTTTTAATTAAACAACATTGTGGCATGTGTTGCGGTTGTTTTAATATCATAAAGGTGGTAATGCTGATTCCAGTTAAAAAAATAAATGAAAAAATAAAAACACGTGATTCCATCATACATTTCAAGTTGAAACGTTTTTAATGGTTTTTTTTTTCCGTTCAGCATAGGCATGTATGAAACATTTGCGAAGAAAAAAAAGAACAGAATATGTTAATAACATGAAAACGGCTGTATTACACGTTGTTAAGCTCTTACTAATACGATACGCAGGGTGTTCTACATTCCTTTACTCGCATACAATATTCGAGTCCTATAACAGGGCTAAAGGACGAAATTGCTTTTTTTAAAATCGAAAAATTTTGTTCAGGCGGTAACGATGTTGTGTTAAACACGAAGGCTTAAAATAATTTAAAATTAGTCAACAGCGAGAACGGTTGTCACAAACATTCTGTTCAAAAAATCCAAAATGCCGTTTATGTTTCTCGGGTGCATTTTTACAGAGCTCGCAGGTATCAAAAAACGCGTCTTCTACATGAATTGAATTTTTTTTTTTCTCATATTTTTATTTCAATGAACCATTAACGTTAGACGACGATGCGTATTAAATATGTTTATATATTAAGAAAAAAAAAAATCACGTAAATCATAATATTTGTCGAACGCTTTCAGACGGTTTTTTTTTTTTTTTTTTATTACGATTATACGCGTTTTACAAATCGTTCGCCGGGCTCCATACAATGGGCGCATGACAAATCGTGACCGATGAAGTGTGTAATCGTTTTTATAATAGTAATGTACAAGTCTACCTATTGTGATGCACACGAAAAAATAAAACACAAATAAATATTAATTTTAGAAAAAGTTGGTCATAAATCATGATTGCTAAATTATTCTATAAATCTCTACATATTTTATGGTCCCATGAAATAAAGTATGACAATTCGTTGTTGTTTTTTAAGTGATGTTAAGTAAAGACCGTTACATATCTTCGTAAATGTTTGGAAATATATTACTAAGAACCGAAACAAAAATGATTCTACATCAATTGAATAATCACTGAGTCTTATAAGCGATGATAACGTAAAATTTAATTTAATTTATATTAACGATACATTTGAAAATCTGGCTGATTCTATTACCAAGTTGGAATCATCAGAACTCAGTATTTATGAATCGACCCAAATTATACGAACAAAAGATTTGAGATTAAAATTGAATCAGAAGCATTTAATATGATTGGAAATAAACTTAAAAACAAATTAATGCCTGTACATGAGAAAAATTCTGTATTTCGAAAAACGTTAACAATCT